AAAGAAGGGGAAACTAAGCTTTTTTTAAGTAAAAAAATAGGGTCTATGAAAAAAGATTAAATCTTACTTAATTCCATGTAATAATATCAAAACAAACAGAAACATTAATATGTTCTCAACTGGGCAGTTTAAACAAAATATGAATTTTTCTAAAACTGAAATTTAAATTCAAAATTCTAATTTAAATCTCAAGACATTTATTAAACTTTATTAAGCTATTACTATTATTCTGTGGCACTCGAAATTGAACCCAGGGCCACTGAACGAGCTATATCTCAGCCATTTTTCATTTTCAATTTTGAGACAGGGTCTAGCTCAGTCACTAGTTGTCAAGAAGGGCTTGAACATGTGCCTCCTGTCTGTCTCCCAGAGTGCCTGGATTACAGGTGTGCGCCACCAAACCCAGCGTGGGCAAAATTATTTTTCAAGCTATATAGAGTATGCCTTTCTTCTAAATATAAGGGGCAGATCATCCTTTTTTTTTTTTTTTTTTTTTTTTTTTTGGTCTTTTTTGAGACAGGGTCTTGCTATGCAGTTCAGGCTGGCCTTGAGCTCACTTTGTAGCCCAGGCAGGCCTTGAACTCGCAATGATCCTCCCGCCTTGGCCCCCCGAGTGCTGGGATTACAGGCGTGAGCCACCACGTCCGGCTCAAATCATCAATTTTAATTTTTAATAAAAATGTTGTTTCTGTCAGCACAGTGGAATAAATAGGTCCTTGTACTTCTCGTCCATCGGTGGCACTGACCTGCTGGCCAAATGCTCCAAGTTTACGCCTCTCTCCAACTGGGGTAAGGGCCACAACCAGACTTACTCTACACCCGGGTGTGCCCATGTGCCCATCTCACCTGGATGAGCTCATCGAGGCTTTCCTGAAGACTGTTTCCCAGAGTGGTATTTCTGTATAACTGATATGCCATGGCTCAGGAGAAAGAAATTACTGTTTTTTCAGGCTTGCATTGATATCCTAAAAATGAAATATAAAATCATTAAAAAGATCACACTACAATATTATAAATTATGTATATAGTCTACCTCATTTTTCTAATAGAACTATTAGAACATTTAATTACAAATTACTATATAATACTTTTAGAATTTCAAGGAATAATAAATTATTTTCCTAGCCTTTTTCTGTGATTTTGACACAGGCAATGACATCTTTTTAATATCCTACAGATTTTTTTGTTTTTGTTTAGGTTTTTTTTCCCCCCCTCTTTTGAGGCAAGGTCTCACTATGCATCCCAGGCTGGCGTCAAACTTGCAGAGATCCTTTTGTTTCAGCCTCTCAAGTGCTAGGATTACAACTGTGCTCCACCACGTCTGGCACCTTACATTTTATTATTTTTGTCTTTTTTTTTTGCAATGTTGGGGACTGAATCCAGAGCATTTGCACTAGGCTACACCCCAGCCCTTTTAAAATTTTGAAACAGTCCTGCCTCTGCCTCTCACAAGGCTGGGATTGTAGGTATGTGCCACATCTGGCATCTTTTTTTTTTTTTAATTAAAAAAAAAGATTTTTTTTTTTGAGATGGGAACTCAACTGATCCTCCTATCTCAGCCTCCCAAGTAGCTAGGGTGAGCCAACATGCCTGGTTTTTTTACTGTTTCTTTCTAGTCTTCTTTCTTTCTGTTTTTTTTTCTGGTACCGGGAATCAAACTCACAGGCAGGCGCTGTGCCGCTGAGCTAAATCTGCAGCCCCTAGTCTTCCTTCTAATTTAGCCTAGAATTTCCTATGTCCCATCCATTCTCATTGCTGTCCAGTCAATGATCTAGATAGTCTTCAGCTCCTACTTACTCCTGCACTTTCCTGTTCTCTTACCAACAAGGGGCTGACACTTGGACAGACAGATACCAGGGAAAGATAAAGACAGACTTTTGATCCTAAAAGCTTACTCTTGTGATAAGGTAAGAAACTAGGAAAAAGGTTAACTTCAGCACAACACAGCAAGTGTGACAGCAAGATACACGTAGCATGCTGATGGAGAAGTCTGCTGACTGAACTGGCTTGGAAAAGCTTCTAGATTCGTTGAGCTAGACTGTTTAGTTCATCTTTAGTTGTGCAAAGCAGGAAAGTCACTCCAGGCAGACAGAAGGGAACAGGGTGCGGAAGCCACAGCCCCTGAACCGTTTTAGGCAGGGAAGGTCAGACAAATGGGCTTGAGTGTGAGTAGAAACGAATAAGGATGTAAGCTCCAGTAGTAGATTCAACAAGTATTTATCTAGCTTCTACTACATTCAGGCATAAGATCTCTGACCCCAAAGTACTTCCCCCAAACACAGGAAGATATACATTCAGGGAGTATGCAATTATCAGTTAAAACTTGGAAAAATAACAGCCAGCCGTTGGTCTTCACATTACACTTCGAAAGCATTTCACACAACAGAGAATTTCTGTTTTTGAGACATTTCTTTGGCTTCTGCGGTATCTCTCAGTTCTTTCCTCTCACCTCACTGGACTACATTTCTTGTTTTCTGCTGCAGATTCCTTCTCAGCACCCTGACTTCCACCTACTGAACTGTCCCGAATCTTCTTAGGTCTCCTCTCCAGGCGCTTTTCTCCCTTGGTGACTCTTATCCACACTTATGGCTTTAGATACTGTCTATCTGCTGGTGACTCCCAAACCTGTATCTCTAGTCCTGACTTCTCCTCTGGTACCTATACATGAAACTGTCTACTTGAGCCTGAATAAAAGTATCAAGCAGGATGCTCAAATTAGATCTGCTCACAGCCAGTTTCCTGACATTACCCTTCAACTGTGCTGTCCTCAGTCCTGCCCATCTCAGTAAGCAGTACACCTACCCGCCCAGTAAAACAATTCAAAGACCTAAGGGTCAACATCAACTCTTTCTCTTACCCGGCATCCAAGCTTTCAATCCTTTCAGCTATTCCTTCTAAGTACAGCTAGAATCTGACAACTTCTACTGTCTTTTGTTATCATGTTAAGTCACCATCATGTCACTAACATTAACGTGACAGCCCAGTGAGTAGTCTCGTCTCTTTTCCTGACTGTGCCACCCACACCCTCATCGCCAGCAGCAGGACATCAGGACTTTACAACATAAGGCAAATTACAACATTTGCCTATTCAAAACTACCAAAACTACCTCCGAGCAGCATCCTGCCTGGGAGGAAAAAATACAAACAACCAAAAACCCAACCACAGTGGTCCTGATAGTCTCTACGGCTTACTCGCTCTGCACCTCCACTACCCTCCCTGCCTCACCTTCTCCTCCGCTCACCCCTTCCTCTGCTCTAGTCACACTGGTCCCCGCTGCTCTCTGACATCGTAAGCAGGCTCTTGCTTGAGGGACTTTGCACTGCCGTTCTTTTTTGTGCACATTCTTCCCAGACACCCACACAGTTCACTCCCTCACCTGATTCAGATCTCTGCTCAAACTTCACCTCAGTAGAAAGGCCTGCGATCAGCCTGTAAGAATAACCTCCCTTCCACGTGCTGTTTCATTTTCATTCATACCAATAACTGATATATATTATACATTTACCACCCAGAACAATGTATGTAGCATGCATTCAAAAAGTATTTGCTGAGTGAATAAAAAACTTGGTGGTGTGTCAAAGTACTAACATCAAACATTAGAAATATATCCAAGTGGGAGACAGTTTTCTACTTTACTGTGGAAACTAAAGCAACAGAAACTTTCAGACTCTCACAACCCCACCTAACTACCTCCCAGTACTTTACTCTGCCTGTCTGGTTTGTCACTCTTGTTGAACTACAGCCCTACCTTGCTTCATAAACTTAATTCTTTCCATGGTTTTGGTCACACATACCTTCCTCTAAATCCACTCTTTCTACCTTTGTTGTCCATCCCTTCCCGTACCCTTGAGGATTATGCATCCCAACCCCACTCTTGGTACTGGTTGGGGTTTTTTGTGTTTGCCAGGCAGGCGCTGTTCCACTGAGCTATATCCCTGGCCACACCAGATACCGCGAGCTGAGTCCAGAGCCTTTGCACTGAGCTACATCCCCAACCCTTCCTCGTTTTGAGATAGGGTCTTCCTAACTTGTTCAAGCTGGGCTCAAACCTGTGATCCTCTTGTCTCAGCCTCCCAGAGGTTAGGACTGTTAAGTGTGTGCCACCACGCTTTTCTCTTCTCTTCTTTTCTTGAGACCGTCTCCCTACGCAGCCTAGGCTGGCCTCAGACTCTCCATCCTCCTGCCTCAGTCTCCCAAGTACTGGGATTCTGGTTGTGAACTACCATGCCCAGCAGCAAGGATGCCGTTTCAACCATTCAGTTGTTCCCTCTCTCCTCACCACCAAAATTTTCCTTCTCCATGTTCATTTTCATCAGCACACAAACCTGTGGTTACTTCTCCCATTCTGGAGTAAAAAAAAAAAACCTAACACACTTCCTCCCTGAGGCCCACTCCATTTCTGCCCTCCTTCACCGTCAGGGCCTGGAGAGCTGTCTGCACTCACTGCCTTCCTTTCCTTAGCTTTTCTTCTAAACTCACATCGAGTGGACTTCTGCCTCTGGCGCTGTAAGGAAACAGCAGCTGAAGATCATCCGTGATCTGCTCGCCTAACCCTCAGTCCCGCCCGGACCAGAGCACTTGACAAGGCTGATGAATCTCTTCGCGAAAGGATCTTTGTTAGCTTCTGGGGCGCTTCACTTCTGCGGCAGGCTCCCCCTTCGCGACACCGCCTGTCGGGTGGCCCCCTTCCCCTGAGCCCTTAACGTCGGAAGTCACCGCTTTTGACAGCAGCCGTCTCCACCCACGCCTGCGAGGTAACGTCCACGCCGGCGGCTTTGAGTAAGGACCGCTGCCACGAGTGTCAACGCCCCCGTGGGCGCGATCGCCCTGCCGGCCCCGGCTCCGCGCGGCCCGAGCCCCCGCGGACGG